GGGGAGCCATGGTCAGGGGAGCCATGCTGGAGAGGCCGAGGGGAAGCCTGGAGTCTCTGGGGTCTTCCTGGGCTGCTATAGGATGTGACCTACAGTCTCTGCTATCCTAAAAAACCCTCAGCCAATAAGAGCTTCACATGAAAATCTCCCTACCGTCCCTCCCCCCTAAAAAAAACACCTCTCTTAAGCCTGTTTCTGCCTCGAGTCGAGTCACTGTGTCTTTGAGTCTTTGAAGAGCCCTCTCTTCCCCCTGCTTATCGGCTGCTTTGCTACAGCATGTCACTGGGTTCTTGGTCCTGAAACCCCCCAAGGGTCAGGCACATCCTCTAAGCAACCCCTCATACTAAGGACTCAGGAAAAATGAGGCTGTTAACGTAGTGCTGTTCGTTAATGGTAGTGCACTTGCCGTTGGTGTTGACGGTGTTCTTGTTACTATTTATTACTCCCACCACAACTTCTACTGGGTTCATTTTACCACCTCCAGTCCTGCAGCAGATGATGGTTAAGTTAGAGAAGAAAGCAGCTTCCACAGAGAGACCTGGGCAGGGACCCTGAACATAGATTATTGGGGACACCAGCAAATTCCCTTTGTGTCCTTTCAGGGAGAAATGGCTGTGTTATCCAGAAACACCTGTAAAAGTCTTAGCTAATGTCTGTGCATCAGGCCTTCACCCACAGCCCGGACGGCACCCCTCAGCATAGGCAGGGGGAAGCCTTATCTTTTGTTTCCCAGAGGCGGCTGGGAGCACACGATCTGATCTCCTTAAGAAACAGGCGTCCACTTGAGCACCAACCATTATGATTGCATCTCAAACCCGTCATCTGTGAAAAGAGAGCTCGAATCAGAAGGTCTGAGCAAAATATTGAAAGTGAGATTAGGAAGAACAGTGTCTGTGGAAGGGTCAGGGGCATGAAAGCAGAATAGACCTGATAAATGCAGTGAAAATGGAAAGTAATTGATAAAGACGATGCACAATTTTAAGACATAAGGAAAAGAAGACAAGAAAAGCCATAAGTACCCAGATGAAGAAAGCCACACAGAGTAGCATCAGAGTTTTCTGTGAACTCAAAGGGAATGTTAATTAAGAGGCTTCAGGTCAACTCAGGTGAAGCAGGATAATCCCAAGCCAGCTATATGTGCAGGGAGAGACGGATCCACGCGACGTGTGTGTGTACGTGGGTGTGTGCAGCTATCTCTGGATCTAAAGAGAGGTGGGAGAATAATTCTGGTGTTCTGATTTCTCTTGCTGAAAGGAATTGAAATGTTGCTGTTAAAGTCATCTCCATGTCACTTTAGCTCAGCAGTGCCAGGAAGACCCCCCCCCCCAGAAAATGAAGACTGGTTTTCAATTTCCAGGCCAAAGGAAAGTGGTTGACGTTTTAGATAACCATCAAGTGACTTCCCAGCTGTATTTAGTTTTGCATAAAGTGAAGGAGGGAGTGCATGTCCACGTTGATGTCTAACCATGCACAGGTCAAAGTGTGGCTTCCTACTGAAGAATGGGACCTTCACCAATTTTCATTCCAGAACTTACAGAGCCCAGGGAGTCAGAATGGTGGACATCTTGAAAGCAACAAAATTATTGAAAACTCTTTCAAAATGTTTGTTTTTATACTCACCATAGATATTATCAAATCATAAACAAACAAAAAAAAAAGGTTTTTTTTTTTCTTTTTTTTGGTACTGGGGACTGAACTCAGGGACACTCAAGCAGAGTCACATCCCTAGCCCTATTTTGTATTTTATTTAGAGACAGGGTCTCACTGAGTGGCTTAGCACCTCGCCATTGCTGAGGCTGGCTTTGAACTCTCAATCCTCTTGTCTCAGCCTCCCGAGTCACTAGGATTACAGGCTTTTACCACCACACCATCAAGAAAAGTGTTTTTTTATCAGATATATTTATTAGAACTTTCCCTACACTGGGCAATGTGCTAGGCACCAGGAATACGGACAGAAGGAAGACATCTAAGAAGAATCTAAGAAGGTACATTGACCCCGAAAGTAACATGACCCAGTATGTTCAGCCATGTAATTTGTTGGACTTGGTTGTTTGCAAAAATCAAATCCACCCTCAAAAAAACCAAAGTATGACACTACTTAGGGTGGTCATCTTTAATAATGAACAATTCTTAAATAGAAATTCCATATAGTTTCCCAGGCATCCACCTTGCAGCAGAGGACTTTCTTGATTGGCGTTTGTGGATACACGTGAACCATTCACTTTTTTTCTATTTCCACAGAACATTATTTACCCAGGTGCACATGCCTCACGTCTCAGGTCTTAAATCTCAGCCCTTTCTGTTAGGGAACTCGTGGGTTTCCCAGCGCTGACAGCTGGTGGGTCACTCACTGGTCTGCTGCCCCTTTCTCCCCTTTTCCAGAATCCTGGGGAATCGTGTGGCTGAGCTGGAGAAAAAACTAAGAACTCTGGAAGTTTCTGGTTTGTGGAGTCTTCCAGGTAAGCGAGACTTCATGGAAATGGTCTCTGMGGGTTTGTTTGGTTTTCAGTGTTTTATTTTGTTCTGTTTTAAAGGAAACTCTCGCGTAATTTGCAGAGGATTAAGTTACACGTAAATGACAGAGGATTCTGTCTTTGCAACTGACCTTTTATTTGGAGAGCATTGTTGAAAAGTCTACTGGTGTTTAAATGGAGAAACCATCAAGGGAGGGGACAGAATCAGAAAAACACGAAAAATATTCAAGTCTCCTCTGTGGGGCACTGAAGTTTCGTTAACCTGAATTCTGAAACTGTCGTCGTGTATGTCTGTGCACGAGAGCGCGCGCACACACACAGAGACACACACACTCTTAATCTTTGTGAATATAGTGAATTGTTTCTCTTTTTTTTTTCTGTATCATATAAAGATTTGTTCAATGAAATCATCACTCCTAAAATGAATGTGAGACTCTACAAAGATTTGTGCAATTTAATCATGAGCCCTAAAATCAAATGTAAGATTGTACAAAGATTTGTGCAATTTAATCACCAACTTAATTTGTGCCAAAAATGAAGGGCCAACAAATTTTTCTAACCCCAACGTCCTTCCCCACCATCGTCTCCTGCTTCCCCATCACATTTCCACACGGCTGGAAAACAAGTTTCCTGAGATTTTCTTCCCCACAGTTGTACAATGCGAGAGGAAATTCTGACTTCTCCCTTTAATTAGCTATATTTATCCCATTTATCTTGATAAAATACCCCTTTCAGGAGACCCCCCCCCCCCCGCAGTCCCCCTTGTCTTGATACTCTTTAGAAACTTATATTTATCCTTTCCCACCACCTCCTCTGTCCCTGGAAGGAGCATTGTGCGGGTATTTTTAGTTACTTACCCTTTCTGTTCAAACCSGTCTCTTCTCCCCTTGACTCATTTGGGCTACTTCCCTGTAACGTATGACAAATGGAAATTGCCACAGGGAGGTGGACGACATCGAGTTTTCTTAAATGTGAATCTGAACAGCTGCCTTCAGTTGCCTGGAAGTGCGTCTCATAAATTRGAAATTCTAGCAGAGGTTCCTTGAACTTGGTGTCATAAGACCTAACAGAACTAATTAGTGGCAGGTGCGTCCTGGGGATCGAATGCCCCATCTTGCACACGGCCCCTTTGATGCTGTTAGACCTCATCTTCCAAGCCAGACCTCTCTTCTAGGGCACTGCATTCCACACACTCAGGCAAAGTCGCCATTTATTTGTGTAGTCGGATTCCTGTTTCTGTGCACGTACTGGGGTTTGGGTTTGGTTTTTTGTTTGTTTGTTTGTTTCTCAAAATGACTTAGTGAAATTTCCCTCTATTTCATTTCTATAATTTATGTAAAAAGATAGAAGTTGAATAAGTGAACAAATGCAGAGMATTTTCTGTCTCTGGTGTTGTTTGGTCCTGGGGGGACTTAATGGCCATTTTGCAATAACAGTTGTCTCTTTCCTTTTTTTCTCTCTCTCTCTTTTTTGCTGCCCAAGGCCTGAGCTACAATGTTTCCGTGGGACTCGGGAGTATGTTCCTTTTTGAAATATGGGCTTTCGGGCTAACACCAGCCATGCTGTGTATCATCCCTGAGTGTAAATAAGCAGCAATGCATTGTCTGTGTTCCTTTCTGACTGGAACAGCCCTTGGGAACAGAAAGATCAATTAGTTATAATTGAGGGTGGAGCCAGTTTCAGGGACCCACCTGGGTGGATTTTATGCCGCTGCCTGGTTGTTCTTGTCCCTGCCTCCTCATGGATACCAATGGGGGGACAGAGAAAGATCCCCAGCTGTGTGACGTGGTGGCATCTCCCTGGTGCACTGGGGAGGATGCTGTGATATTTTCGTGGTATGCTGTCTTCCCTCCCTGGTGACACAGGGCGGGGAGCCCCCTCCACTRAAGGCCCCACAGTCCCTCCCGGGCTCGGGCTCGCTGTGTCTCCTTTTGAACTACCGCAGGGTGGAGAAAGGCAGGGGTTCTCCTCCCCCTCCCCCATTTCTTCCCTTCCGCATCCACTCCCCAGATCCCTGTGTTTGGCAGCTGGTGTCCGAGCCCCATGTTCCAGAGATCACCWGCTCCGTTTTGGACAGTGCCTTGAAGGGGTTGGTGTCCTCTCCAGTAAGCCAGCCGTCCATGCRTTGACACCTTGCTGAGCAGAGGCTTTGTGGATGTGGTGCTGTTCCAGGGTGCTGGTCACACCGCCGTCCCCTCCAGGAGCCTGCAGTTAGGGAGCGAGAGGGATGGCTCAGACAGAGAGGAGGACAAAGTGTACGTGGTTCCAAAGAAGTTGGTGTGTGAGGGACCCATGGGTGGAGTCCCTGGTAGGCCAGGCGAGAGCAGGGTCACGGAGGGCGAGCACTGGGTGCCACTCCAGTGGCAGACATGGCTGATGGAGCACCTGGCTCTGCCTGGCTGGCCCCAGCTGTTGCCTGCAGCGGCCAGAGCTGCTGTGTGAGAGAACATCCTCCCCTCTCCGGACCTAGTCAGATCCCCTCATGTTACATAAGGAAACAGGAAGRACATTAGTTGACACCTAAGGCCACAGAGGTGGCGCTGAACCCAAGCATCAGCCTGTCGTGTCGGTGACAGCCCTTCAGAGAGCCTGCAGGCGGTGGAGAGCTTGCCCCTCGCTACCACGCCACGCACTGACTGCTGGACTTTGCGCTGCRACTTTTCATCAACTGCCCTCTCCTTCCCCACTTGCTCTCTCAGTGACAAGTGGACAGCGGGAGGTGGACACGTTCAATAAATGTCACAGCCTGCAGAGAGAAGTCATGGGTAGCAAAGCCTCTGCCACACTCTAGAGCATCTGCCATGGGTGGGAAAGGTGTGGAGCTATTGAGGGAGCCAGAGGGGGACCCCACTGACCGTGCCCCCAGCAAGAAATGGCCCTCCATCACCTCCCCAGGCTCCTGCCCTCCAGCTCCTCTCTCAGCCCTCGTCCCACCTCTGCAGAAGAATGGTGCACAGGTGCCTCTGAGGGTGGCTCCCRGATGTGTTCATGCTCCAAAAGATACTCTGAAAGCCAGGAACTCCCGCTAGTGCAGTGCCTTTGAGCTTTTCTCCTCCRTACTTCAGGCATCAGCCTGAGTAAGGAAACGTGTGGCTTGAAAATACTTGACACAGGGGCTGGGGCTGGGGCTCAGAGGTAGAGCGCTGGCCTACCATGCATGAGGCACTGGGTTCGATCCTCAGCACCACATAAAAATAAAATAAAGACATTGTGTCCACCTATAACTAAAARTAAATATTAAAAAAGAAAAGAAAAGAAAATACTTGGTACATTTTGGAGCAGGGGAGGGCTTTTGTGCCAGAAGGCCTCAGTACAGCTTCCAGACGCTCAGACACAGCCGAGTGGAAGGGCTGTGTACACTAGTGGACTCCAGTTTGTGGACTTCCACCTCTAGACCTAAGGACCAGATGGAAGTACAAGGTAGCCGACCATCAGACTTGAGGCCAGCTTGGCCAGCATGAATGGGATCTGGACTTGATATTTAGAAATAAGAGACACAGAGCCTTCTAAGGAAGGTGTTTTAGTCCTGCAGACATTTAGAAGAATGATGGAAACTCGGTGTTTTTCCTTATCAGGAAATGATCTCTGGGTGAGAGTTCTTCCCCACCCCTTCTGGGATGGGGCATGGATGAGGAGTGGCTTGTTCCTCTCTCTACGTGCTTTTTTTTTTTTTTTTTTTTTTTGGAGAGCTTTGATGTTGCTGGTACCAGTGTTTTGGAGGAGCTGTGTGGGATGGATGATGACCCTGTGACTGAGTGGGGCCAACGGGGACAGCCCACCTCAAGAATTCCTCTGGAGCAGAAGGCTGAGGCTGGCTTGGTCACTCAGCCACAGCTAGCTCCCACCTCTGCTTAGACTTCTGATTCTTTGGCCACCGAGACAGGGGACATAGGAAGGCAGTGGCTCAGGGTGTGTTCCTTACGGAGCCCCCTGAAGGCTAGACAGTTTTCAGTCTCCTGAAACATGGGTCTGGACACGCAGTCTCACCTTGACCTGTGGACAGGTGGTGTGGCCTTGCTGGAGGGAAACAAGACATCCACCGCAAGACACCTGCTACCCATTCATAGTGACCAGAGCTTGTTCCCCATTAATCCACCCAGGAGCTCCCTGATGGCCCCTTTGCAGCATGCTGGGATCCCTGATTGAGCAGTGACTCAATCTGAGGCCKCCTCACATCCCAACTGCAGATCAACAGCTGCCTTTAGGAAACCTCTCCAGACTAACGTCCTGAAGATTTCTAGATTTTTTTTTCCACATGAGGGATGCAGAACATCAAGGTCAGCTCCTACCTACACTTCTAGGATGACTCTCAGATGGCGGCCAATCACCCATTCCATCCACGTGGGGTGGCAGCAGCACACAGACCACCAGCCGCAGGATTCCCAGGGACACCTCAGCCGTTGATTCAGACGCTGTCAGACACCAACCAAACACCCACCAYGTGCCAGACTCTCTTGCATGGTCTTGGAAACAAGTTAATAGGACGTGGTCTAATGGAGAAAAGGAATCATGAACAAGTTCAGGGGAGCCAGGACACAAGGGTGGAATTGTCCAAGGTTCTCCAAAGATAGTAGACTTTCCTTAGCCAGGTGTAGTTCTGTGCTCTGTGAACCTGAACCTGGGTAAGATCATAGAGTTTAGAGCCTCTGATCTGAGCCCAGAGACATTTAGTAGGTTGGCTTCACACAGCCTTAGCAAGGGTCTTGCTCAGAGTGAGACAGGTGAGACTCATTATGTGCAGGCAATGTGCCAAGATGTCCCCGAGGTTGGCACCATGTCACTATTTATAGCAGAGGACTTGAGTCACCATCCAAGTTCTCACAGCCATTTTGCTGTGGGGCTGGAATGTGAACTCAARTTGGAGAACAGGCTGAATTCGTGGGCGCTGAGGGTTCCGTTTGCAGTAGGAATCCCAAGGCCTGATGGGCCAAAGTTTGGCATTGCCTCCTGGCTGGAAGGCTCTCTGACCCCTGGGGTGGCCTCACCCCCTGTCCACATGTGTGGTGTCCGTTCCTGCTCATCACGCTCATGTTCAAAGCCACTCTTCCCTGCCGCTCACCTTTGAAGCTTGCCGTGTCCTCTAGAGTTGGACTGGCTCCTTTCCTCCTCCTCTTTGCTCCAAACTTTCCCTATCCATTAAGGGTTCCATCCTCACAGGTAAGGGCTTTGGCTGAATGGGACTGCAAAATCCACCTGGAAGCTCAGGTGGGATGAGGTGGAGGACTTGATACAGCCCGCTAGGACAGAGTGATCAGTCCATCTAAATGACCAAGTGGAATTAAATCACAGTATGTGTGGCCCAACTAAGTGTTCCAGCAGGTGACATTTGCTGACCATTTACTGGACACCCAAACGCTTTTCATTKATCAGTTCATTTCATCTTCACAACCATCCAAAGATGCCAGGGGTGGAGTGGGGGGGGGCGGTAATTCCTTCCTCATTTGACAGATGAGAGATGTTAGGCCCAGAGAGGTCAGGGGGTCCTTCTGATGTGGCACAAACCGTATGGTCTAGTTCCMACGCCTGCTCACCTCAGCCCTCTGCTACTGTTTTATGGCCATCGTCTCCCCCAGCCACTTGGTATTGGTGCACCCAGGCTGCCTTTACTGGTGGCTTTTGTTGGCCATTCCTGAGCAGGGTCATACGCATCTGGCCCTAGAGCTCAGGGCTCCATCCTCGTGTAGACAAGGAGCAGCTGGCCTCTCCCCTCGGGATYACCTAGGATTAAAGAGGATTCCTGACCAAACAGCCAGGTAATCACAGGGGAGTAAGTGTGACCCAGTCCCACTGGTGACATAGTATGTCTGCTTTCCCCTTCTCTGKGACAGGAGGCAAGGACACCCTACTGTTCAGCGACCCTGCTCTTCCCACCACACAGAGGTCGAGATCCCCCCTGCTGAAGTTTGTCGACCAGCCCACAGAGACCAGAGTGAATCCCAAGGATGGTAAGCACACCAGGGTTTCTCTGCCTTTGCCTGACCCGTGTCTACCTCAGTGGACGCCAGTCCCTTTCCCTCTGGCAGCTCTGTGGACAGTCACGACCTTCCTCACATTTACCTGGGTTCATCTTGTTGGGAGGTCCCCTCAGTGTGGTAGCCAGCTTCTAAGATGGCACCACGGGATCCCTACCCCTGGGCATTCCCCCTGGTGTAGTCCCCTCTCACACTGTACTGGGGCTGGTTGTCAACAGAGTGCTGTGGAAGTGGTGGGATGTGAATTTTGAGGCTGGGTCATAGAAGACATGAGGCTTGTGCCTTGCTCTCTCTGTCTTGATCTTTCACTCTGGAGGAAGCTGGCACCAGGTCAGGTGGCTCCTCAAGCCGCCCACATGGGCTTCACAGGGTGTGGAATTGAGGCTTGCGGCCAGCCTCCGTGTGAGTGTGCCATCTGGGAAGCAGGTTCCCCAGCTCCAGTCAAGCCTTCAGGTGATGATAGTCCTGGTCAGCACTTTAGTGGAACCTCACAAGTGACCACTAGTCAGAACCACCACACTAACCTGTTCCCAGACTCCTGGGTCTTAAGCTGGTAGGTTCTGGAATGATTTGTTACACAGCAGTAGATAACTGATATTCCCCAAATGCGACTATCAAGGTTCTTTCCTTAAACATCTGCATTTCTTCTCCATCTTCTCTTGCTCAGAGTCATACCTTCAATCATCAACTCCATAAGAAGATTCTCAAAGCGCCCCCCCCACTGGTTTCCTCCTGCAGTTACAACCCCATATTTTCCAGGGCCTGGCTTTCCCACTGAATCTCTCTTCCTGCTTCCTCCTCCTTTTCATCACCCTCTCAACTACTCAGACTTAACATGGTRGAGTCCGCCTCCTTCCTTCTCCGCCTTGTCTGTCACAGAACTCCTTCTGTAATGTCCTGCCCCTGGGGCCCTCCCACCGCTGGCTTGGTTCAGGTCCCCTGGCCWCGTTGGCAACCCCCTCCTGGATTTTCTGCCTCCCACAGCAGGATAAAGCTGCCAGCTGGTTTTCCATCGTGTCTGTAAAACCCTGCGCRGTGCTCAACTGTCTTCTGCCTAAAATCTCAGCTCTGTACCTGGCCTCGCCCACCTTTCTCACCTTATGGTCACCTGAACTTTTATCCAGTGGACTAACAAGTTAGCTATGATTGTGCACAATTTGAAGAATCAACAGTGTATTACTTACCAGGAGTCTTTGGGTCAGATAGGTGGTTCTGCTGCTCTGAGCTGGGTCAGAACCTGTTCAAAACACTCATGTAGGGGGGTAAAGTAGAAGCCAGGCCGTTTCCGGGATTTCAACTAAAAGGCTCCCCAAGTACTTGTGGGGGAGTTCCTAGAGAAAACCCCCAACTCTGGTAGGTTCCACACTGACAGAGAGCAAGGTTGGTACTTTCCAATCTGTAGCACGTGGCTGTTTACAAGGGTAGCCCGTCACACACTCCCCCTCGTGTCTTGGCTGGTGGTCATCCCATCGCGGCAGCCAGTGCAGAAGTCCTGTCTGCTCTGGGTGTGCTGAGCCCGGGGGCTGGCCTGGGGCTGGGCCTGCTGCACTGAACTGGAGCATGAACCTGGCTTGATTTTCACAAGGGCATCCTTAAGTATTGGACTGATTCAAAATGATAGTTTCCAGAGTTCCATCATCAGCTCTCATTGTTCCCACCCCGTCCTCACCGGCACTGGGGGAGGCAAGGAGGCATTTTGGAGTGGCTGTCAGCATCTGGGATGGCCACACCGCTGCTGCAGCCCTGATTAATTCCAACCCAAAGCAGCGCCCACTCAGGAGCACAAAGCCCAGCAGAGACCAGTGAACAAAGGCAGACAAATGTCCCCTTTGGGCCAAAGAGGCAGAACGCATTTAGGGGTCTAGCAATCATTTCTATAAAGCAAAACTGGTGTTTTTCATCTTTAAAGAAGAAAAAGCACTTTTCTTTCCACACTATTTGTGTCATGAGGCATCTCTGTCAGTCAACGGCCTTATCATTTTTGAGATGTGTATTGTTATGAATAAGTATTAATGATATTAATTCTGTTTGCTAAAACGGCACAGAAAATTGCTATTATTTGCAATAATATTTTCCTACTCTTGGCTGCTTCAGAAATCTCTTATGCAAATGGCAATGCTGTTCTGGAAGGAAGAATACAAACCCCACAGCTTAAGAGTTAACGTTCCAGAATCCCAGAGTTAAAGGGGGATTTTGCCACCACAGCAAGTAACCAGAAGTCTCAGGGACAGAGCAACAGCCATGACATTTTCAGGAACTTTTCACTTGTCCTGATGATGACTTGAGTATAGAACACTTTTGGGATATTTTTTAGGTAAATAGGGGCTGTGTTGGTGAATCCCACTGTTGACCCATAATCCAATGCCAGGGCCTGGCCCCTTTGTCTTTATCATCCTGATTCTGGAAACATAGCCTTTCTCAGAAAAAAATAAATAGGACCAAACAAGAACTGCAGCCTGTTTGTGCATCCCCTTACTGCGGCTGTTTTAACCTAGAACGAGAATGGTGACTGTCATGTCCCCTCTACCGCACCCATTCCCCTGCAAAAAGGTTAAAAATGTCTCTCTGGTCATCTCAGAGGTTTGCCATTTTTAAAAAAGATTCATATATTTGGACATGAGCAGAATGTCATCTAAAGAAATGGCAGGAAGCAAAATACGAGTGACCAAAAGGCCCTGTGTCTTTTAGACTTTGTTCCCTGCGAGGTGAATGAGACAGAGAAGATCAACCTGAATCATGGTAAGAACACTCTGCAAATGGCGCAGGGCTAGGGTGTTAGGAGTGAGGTTAATTAATTTTTCAGGGAGAGCAGAATATAGTGTTAAGTGTCCTGGAAGAAGTAATTTCATAAGAGTAATTTCCAGAAGAGTTTATTCATCTCACATTGGTGAAAAATTTAGCTGCAGAAGGCACCATCATTTACTCCTTCTGAATCAAGCTCCCCGACTCCACTGCAGACTTGCTCCTTTGACTCCCTGTTTCTCATGTCCCCTCTGCAACCACCATAAAAATTTCCATTTGTTAGTATGAAATRTATATGATTGCTCCTTGAGCTACCTTAGGTGTAGCTAAATGTTTGTGTGAATTAGGATAAATCTCTTTTTTTCCCCAGAAAGTACCATTTTAAGAACTTTTAGGGTAGCAATCTGAATTGAATACAACTTGCAATGAAGAATATAAATTCAAGGATTAATTTTCATATATTAATGCATGGCATTTAAAAATGTGTGCTAATATATTCACTTATTCATGCATTCATGTACCAGCCCATATATCCAAACTATTTAATAAACTATTTATTGAGTCCCCACAGTAGAACACGGATAAAGTTAAAGAATTTTAATCAGGCTAGAATTCATACTTAAGGTACTTTGAGGTAGCAGATTGGTGGGAGGAGTGTGGCCTTATGGGAAGTCAGGCACTGGGAATGTGRCCTGTGGCAGAGTGAACCAGATGGGCTTCATGTGGGAGGTGGCATTGGGACTGACCCTTGAGGTGTATCATGGGGATATAAAAAGGAATGACAGTCCTGGAAGAATCGACCACCGTAGCAAAGGCAGGGGACCGGGTGGTGCACCAGAAAGGGCTGGCCTTGCAGGAGGGTGGGGTTGGGGTGCAGGAGTTAAGGGAGATGCACGTGGGGTCCTGGAAGCCTGAGTGCTGGTTACCAGCCTGGGCTTTGTTCCCAAGCACTGGCAGCCTTGGAAGGTTTTGCTCTCGGGGGGAAGCCGGGGTGAGGTTTGCACTTCAAGCTCACAGTGCTCCTCACACTGTGGTGTGTACCCACATCGCCTGGGACCTTACTAAAATACAGCCGCAGAACCAGTAGATGTGGGGAGGTGGTATCTGAGATCTTGTATGTCTACCAAGCTCCCAGTGCTGCTCTGCAGACCCCACCTTGAGTAGCAAAGCTTTTAGGTGTGGCTCCTCCCCCAAGAGGGTGAATTGGAGCAGGAGGAAGTGAGGCCAAGGAACTGATTAGGAACTAACATGTGTTGTGATCCTAGCTGAACAGGTCTGAATAGGTATTTTTTTTTCAATCCAGGTTTGCTTAATTCACTAATTTATATATTCATGTATTTCATTTAAGCCTAAGAAATGATCTCATTTTCAGGTACAGTATTTATGTAGAAGAGGAATGCTTAATTCAGACTTTGGAAAGTATTAAGTAGATTTGATTGAAAGCATCTCTGAGATTTTTCTGTAGTCATCAAAAAGTCTAAAGAGCTGAGTGTGATGGCATGCATCTGTAATCTCAGCTACTGTGGAGGCTGAGGCAGGAAGATTGCAAGTTCAAGGTCAGCCTGGGCAACTTAGAAAGACCTCAACTCAAAATTAAAAAGACTGGGGATATAACTCAGTGGTAGAGCACCCCTGGGTTCAATCCCTAGTAAAACACACACACACACACACACACACACACACACACACACACACCTCAAAGGAACAAAATGGCTTTTTAAGTGTGAAAAGAAAATTTGTACCAGGAGAATTAGAGGGAAGACCTGCCTTGCTCAGGTGAAACCCGCCATCTTCCTCCCTAATGATTTCATTTTTTAAAAAATCACCTATAGTCACTTCCTCTTGTTTTCATCCTTCTTTACTTTGGTAATTTCATTTTTATTTCATGATCCATCTTATTTAGCTGTCTCATTTCTAGGGTTTCTCAGCTTTTTAAAAACAGATTTAGCCACTTAAAAATATTGTTCTTAATTTTTAATTGACCCAGTTGATGCATAATGATACTAATATTTATGGGATACACTGTGCCTTTCAATATATGTGTACACTGTATTGAGATCAAGTCAAGGTCATGGAATATCCATAATCTCAAATATTCATGATTTTGGGGGTATTGGAAACATTCAAAATCCTATCTACTAGATGTTTTGAACTGTACAATAAATGTGAACCATATAATCATTTTTTACTTTCTTAAGATTTTAAGCACTTATTAGGTAAATAAGTGCTTA